TGAGCCTAGAATGAACATGCATGTGTCCAAATGTTATCTAACCACTCTGGTTTTTGATCTGGACACTGGCTAGAGGTTCACCGAAGATTTATCTCCATCAATTCCTGTGTGCACAATCCTAACCTCTATGATTCTCCCCTCACTCATTCGCCACAGCTCAAACAATAAAGATATTTATATATATGTGTGTGAATCGCCTCATTTGAGCCCAGCAGCAATATACTACACTTGTATATGCACACAGTTTGACAGAGAGCACTGTCATCTTTGAATGTAAATAGGATGGCACTTAATGCTTTGCTATAAACTATATATAAGTAACAAGTTTGCTGTATGTATTTTGATCTCAAGAAAATAATGGTTGATATCTTGAATTTCAACTGTTTTTTTTAGCTCAAGATACATCAGTTTTTCCATCAATTTGAAAAATTTTCAAATTAAAAAGTATTTTTTCTCCTTAAATATGCAATTAATTATTTTAAAAAGTCTTTTAACTTATAAATACAAAGACTGCAGTGATAATCAATAATTGTTGGAAATTGTCATTTTCTAATTTTTCAAGTGCTTATCAAGTGTGACTAGTGAACTTTGACCTACTGGATTAGTTAAGCTGAAAGACTTTTGGTTAAAGAATTTGAGTTATCACCTGCAGGTTTTGCATAAGGTTATCTTAATGATTCTATAACATATATATTTAATAATTCCCGAAAATTAGAAACTGTTAATATTCACGGATATCTTCATCAATTTTGTATTTTTGTTTTTTCTAATATTCAGTGTGATATATTATTAATATTTATAATACCAAAAATATTTGTGATTAATCATTGAAAGTTCAAAAGTTAAAAAAATGTCACAATGATAAATACAGAAATTTTCTGCAGTGTGTTTATTCATTTATAGAGTCTAGTCAAAGATGGAATCCTGTGAAAGTACAATTTATTATACACTATAATATAGTTCGGATATAGTTATTTTTGTTATTTCAATTTTCACTGATGTTTTTTTTTTTTTTCCATTTTTCTCTTTGCGCATTTCCATTGAATTTTATTCATTCTAAAAGATTCCCAAATGGATGTTTCTGGTTTTTCTAATGCAAAGCTTTTTTTTCTGGCTGGCTCTTAGTGTAGAGCATAAAACAACCAATGATGAACAAATGACACTTGTCCATAGTCATCATATATGATGTCAGTCAAGATGAAAGTATCAAAACAATCCAAGCAGAAGCTGCTGCCAAGATAAATTTTTTATCTCCTCATTTTCTGTCTCTGCGTTCTCATTTCTATTGTATTAAGGAACACCGTTCTTTTTTCTTTTCTTTTCTTTTTTTTTGCATTAGCTTCCCTCGGCTTACATTAATAGCTTATAATGGTAAAATACACAAGTGGTCATATCACTAAGTGACCAATTCTGCAACTTTTTCAAACTTTTGGATCTATTTAAATTTTACTCTTAGGCGTGCCTACAACCATCCATCGACCCCAACCCCCACACAAGTTCTCAGCCTGTCCCACTTTCCAAAATTTGATCAAATATCAGAATTTATTTTCATTCTTGGTCAGGCCAAGAACTTTAGAGTACTTTGTATGCATATATAAAAATAATGTCTTCTTTTTTCTTTTTCTTTTTTCTCTCCCCCCCCCTTGAAAATTTAGCATTTTTTTTTGGTTATTTTATTTTTGATGATTTGCTTGGATTTAAATCAAGCAATGATTTTATTCTGTATATATTTACTGTCGCCATTCATTCTTTTTTGTTGTGATTTAGAGAATTTGAATATGTTTATTGCAGGAGAGCTACCCCCCCCACTACAACTACCACCACCACCACCACACATGCACTCTACCTGCTCTGTGGAATCACTTCATTCTTTTCATCATTTTTATTGCTACCTCTTCACTTCACCTTTCTTCAGTTTCCTTCCTTTATTTTTATTTACAAATTTTTTTTGCCAATCAATTTTACTCCATCTCTTATAACCTTTTACCATTTTAGAAATGTTGTTTTTGTTCTCCTGTAAATATTGCATGTGCAGAAAATAGTCTAAAATTTTATTTTTCTGTAATTAAACTAATTGGCCACTTTGTAATAATTTCGGCTGTTGAATTGATACAGAACTTATTTTATAATACAAAACTATAATACTGTTTACAGTAATTGCTAATTTCCATATCAGCAAGCATATAATTTTTGATAATGTCTTTTTTTGTTGTTTTATCTCTGTTGAACTCATCTTTCATGTTCATTGCAAATGTCATGTTAATTGTTGATAGAGGAATTAGCCACAATTATTTCCACAGAAAGCAACTCTGATTATATGTCAGCACTCTTCATTCAGACTTTGGTTAATTCTTTCTTTTCTTCCATTTTAAGATACAAATCTTAGAGAAAATTTACCCAAGATCAGGTTTACAATCAATAATTGTTGTTACATGTTTACTGATTTGGTTCATTTTCTCAAGTTTTTAATTATTTAAGATAAAATGTTTGTTTGTGCTTAAAATAAAGAAGTGAATGTTTTGTTGAATTTATATATATACCCAAGTATAGGATTGGTGTATGCAGAATAAATTCCAATAACCAACAAATACTATTCTTAAGAGTGCTCAATGCAGAGTAGAGCAAAAATAATTATGTATTTGAAAATTAAATATGTTATAAAATTACTACAAAAATAGCCATTTTGTTTCAACACTTCTGGACCCATGAGGTGTTGATATGCTGTTAAACAAACAAAATGTACAGTGAAATAACTTGATAAGACACCAGTCATGTTGAAACAAAATTGCTATTTTTGTAGAGATTTTATAACATATTTATGTTATAATTTTCAAATAAATAATTATATACACACGCACACACTGTACTTGTTATTTGTGTATAATAAAAGTAATTGATGATTTTAATGTATCTTTTATTACAAGGTAAATTGATATATTTCATTTTAGCACCAATGAACAGGAATATAAAATTTATGATCAAAGATTATAACAGATACAAGATACTCTGACAAGTTTGGTTCTCTTGACTACTGGTGGCTCTGTGATAGTGTCTTAACTAAATTTTCTATCCTTCCCCTCTTCACTCCATTTAAGGTATTCACATCTTTTGCTGATAAAACAGAATATTTTGCTCGTAAACTTTCTTCAAATTCTATTTTGACTCATCCGGAGTATCTTTGCTTGACTTTCCACTTAGTACTAAGTCTCTATTGAGTGATAAGCATGTGAACATGATGGTATCCCTGCAGTAGTCCTTAAGAAATCTGCTTCTGAACTGTCTCCTGTTCTTTCTAAACTCTATCATAAATGCCTTGCTGCTTCTTGCTTACCTGTTTGTCGGAAATCATTTTCTGTGGTTCCAGTTTTTAAGAACCATCTGATCCTTCTAGTGACTTATTAGCCTTCTACCTATTTTTGGCAAATTGCTAGAGGCTCTAATCAACACTGAATTAGTTAAGCATCTCACCTTGCAGGGTCTTCTTTCAGATAAGCAATATAGCTTTCACTTCTCTAGGTAAGTGTTGATATATTAACGATTATTGCTGAAAGAGTCTATCAAGCTTTATATAAGAATGGCTATTGCTTTGGATATCTCAAAGGCATCTGACAGGTTTTGGTGTGCTGTTTTACTTCACAAGTTGAAAGGTTATGGTATTTCTGGATGAATTTTTGAACTGATTCAATCTTATCAAATTGTGAAATGAAAGTTGTCTTGAACAGATACTAATTAATGCAGGTGTTCCCCAGGGCTTTGGAGCCACATTGTTCCTAATTTTCCTCTACGACCTTCCTGATGTCATCAGTTCTCAACTCTGTATCTATGCTGATGACACAACTATTTACTCCTGTTTTAATAGTAAGTCTAGTTGGTTTGTTAGGGTCAAATTGGCAGCTGATCAAACAAAAATAACTGACAATCTGTTGTTTACTTGGGAAAGGAATGGCTTGTTAATTATAACACTTCCAAGATGAAGATGCTCTTTTGTTTGAGAGAACCCATTTTGCTTTCTATCAGCATGGCTGATGGTAACCTCTAGGAGAGTGATTCATTGCACCTTCTCAAGCTAATATTTTCCAATGACATGAAGTGTAAAGATTATATTGAATTGTTAAGTCTTCTGCTAGGAAAGTTGGTTTACTGTATCTTGCTAGATAATTTTCCCTACCAGAATCTCTATCTTAACACATTTATGAGTTTATCATTCATCCAGGCTTTGAATATTGTTGCCATATATTGTTTGGTGCTTCTGCTATGTATTCAAAGATTCTTGATAAAGCTCACAGAAAAATCTGCAATGTTATTGGTCCTGACCTAGCATCTCAGTTTTAGTCAATTTCCCACTGTCATAATGTAGCTTTCCTGTACCTTTTCATATTTTCATGGTATTTGTTCTGATGAACTTTCCTCTTTGGTACCTACACTTTATGAATTTAAGCACAGTAGTGGATTGGTGGCAAGGTTTTATCATTTTAGAGTTGAAATGGCTAAAGATGTAACCATAAGTTCTATGTTAACAGTTTCTTCTTTCGCACTTCTTGTCTGTGGAACTCTCTTTCACTTCTTTGTTTTCACTCAACATTTATTTTCAGAAATTTAAATTCAATTTCAATTATCTTCTATCTTAATTCCTGTTCTTTTATTGTTCTCTCTCTTTAACATCTTTTTTTTTTTTTCTCATATTCTCTCACATTCTAGTAACCTCTTGTGCCTTCGTGGCTTTATTGCCTTGCTTGGGGGTGAAATGATAGAAAACAAAAATAAACAGCAACACTATAGAGACTAATGAATATATCTTTCCAATTTCTATTTTTAGTTTCTCATGTAGATATTCACTGGGTTTTTTTTTTTTTTTTTTTTTTTTTAGCAATTTGTGAAGTTTTTATCTTAGGAATGCAAATTATTCTCAGTATTTTAAACATATATTCAAAAACTAAATTTCTTCAATATACTCAAAGCAGCTATTTTTGTATGACCCTTTTTATGAATGTCACTTGAATATGAAACTTTTACATTTTTGTTTTTTGTTTCAGGGTAATACTGGCTTGGGATTTAGCATTGCTGGAGGCAGTGATAATCCCCACATTGGGGAAGACCCCAGTATTTACATTACCAAGATTATTCCGGGTGGGGCAGCTGCAGCTGATGGCAGATTAAGGTATGTCAACAATGAACTGATTTTAATATTGGAAGTTAAGCTTATGAACATTCCATTTACACACCAAAAAAAAAAATATCTACCACTGAAATGTTCAGTAAAATCTAATGCCAAAATTAAACTAAAGATTTATCTTTAGAAAAATTACTATATATTTAGTAAAGTGACAAGTGGAGAAAAATTTAGTCAAGAGGAAGGGGATTAATATATTTTAATCATTTTTTTTAATCTAAATATTATTACCATACATCTGCATCCAAATTAGCTACAATTAATAAATATTTTCTGTTTTTTTTTTAAAACCACCCCTCAAAATTTTACCTCATTTTTTATTTTTATTTTTTTTATTTTTTCCTTTTTAATTTTGTTTTTATTCATGTTCTTTTTTCTTTCTTTTTTTCTTTTTTTTTTTTCTTTTTTTTTTTTTTTTTCTTTTCTTTTCTTCTCTTCTTTTTTTTTTCCTTTTATTTTTCTTTCTACTTATTTGTCCATTTTTTGATTTGTCATTGATTGGCAAAATGCTACATAGTGAAAACATCCTCTTCAACTCCAGAGCCGAGAGCTTGTGACAAAACATTTCATACAAAAACAACAAACAAATAAATCACCTAAAACACAAGCTACCCAAAGTTTGCAACTATAGTAGATCGAAGAAGATCAGTAACCCAAAACTTTTCCACAATATATCTTGCACTAAACATTGTATCACTTGAGATGGTGACTTTAAGTCTTGGCTTAAAATTTGCAACCCAAATAAGAAAAGAAGATACCTTAACCACAAACCATAGATTTGACCTCACAGACTTGGAAGAGGATTTCAGACAAGGCATCATATCTACAGCCTGAAGGAAAAAAAAAACTACCTAAGAGATACCTACTGATACTAGAAAACCTGTCTTCAAATAAAAATGTAATTATAATCCCCTCTGATAAAGTAGGCAGAATTATCATCATGGACACCAACAACTACATTGAAACATTAAAATCCCTTTTAAAGGACGATAACACTTAGGAGAAAATCAATGAATGAATGGATGGTAAATACAGACTCACACAAATTTAACAAAACAATCAAGAAACTATTAAAAAATGAAAACAAATTCTGGACTAAACTAATAGCATACTACACTACAACACCCACACCATATGGCTTACTTAAAACCTATAAATCCATCATACCCATTGTGTCTGGTATCAACAGTACCCACCACCTGCAATATCTGAAGCAGTTGCCTAAATTCTTAACTCTGTTCTAAGGCATCCTCAACCCAACACACATTAAACACTATAGTGCCTTAATCAAAAGGATAAGAAACTTAAGCATAATAAACAAGATTATGGCTAATTTAGATATCAAATCATTATACACAAATATACTGGTCACAAAAGTTCTCAACATATTAAGAAACCCCCTCAAAAAATGCTAGAAACACTTTCTCTACCTGTTCACAAAATTATACAACTTTGCAAACTAATCACTAATCACTGTTGCTTCTCTTTCCATAAAAAGTTTCTACAAGCACAAATTTGGTTTGTTTAATAAGCAGTGTTTTTGCTTGTATGTTCCTAGAATTTTTAGAGTCTGACCCATTTAAACACATCATACCTAAAAAAAAAAAAAAATCTCCACTTATCTAAGATACATAGATGACATTCTTTTAATATATCCTCACAATAAAATTCTACCAAACAATAAAGAACCTTAACATATAGAGCCTGCCAATGAATTCATATGTGAATTTGAAATAAACAAATCTTTATCTTTCCTTGAGATCTTGTCAATACATAACAATATCAAATTAGATTTTAGAGTTTACTGCCAACCCACTAACAAAAATGATCAAATTAATTTCTATTTCCACTACAGTCAAAAAATAAAATCAGGACTAATAGAATTCTACCTTCGAGCCTTTAGAATATGTAACCCTGAATATCTAGGTGAAGAAGAGAAATACATTGGAAAAACATTTAGACTTCTTCACTAACCATGTCATTTCATTCTCAATGCTAGAAAATGAGCATACAAAATCCATGAATCTCCAAAAAATAGTATTTCTAACATCAACACTATAAAATTCTTAATCCTACCCTCTAACAGTCTATCTACAAAAACTGAAAACAAATTAGTTATCCCAAACACTCAGGTTATTTACCACTGCCTCCAAGACAGTTGAAGATAGAATTAGGAAGAAAATTTGATTCGGCACCAATTCAGATGTTGGGATTTATCAAATAAAGTGCTTGCAATGTAGAAACACTTAGATTGGCAAAACATCTTGACATCTAAAAGCTTGCATCTACAAGTATAAAAGCTTTAAACTCACTTGTAATACACAGGAACAAAGCTAACCATAACTTTGATTTTATTTGTCCATTTTTCTTTCTTTTTCTTTTTAATAAATACCTTCAAATTTTTGTTTTGGATTAATTTTAAGTAAATTCAAAAATCAAAATGTCTTTTATGTTTAAAGAGAAATTTTTGCTCAAATTTAATATATATATATATATATATATATGTGTGTGTGAGTGTGTTTTACCAGTTTGTTATTGGAAGGGATAATTCTGAGGAGGATATAAATCTCAATGTAGACTACAGAGCATTATAATGATAATAATAAGACGGAGACTTTAATTATCCATTTCGTTTATAATTTTTATTTCGTGAACACTGGCATTCTCAGCCCATCAGAATGAAAACTTCTCCACAAATGAGAGAGAATTAATACAAGTATAAAGTGTGTCACTTAGCTGATTAATGTTACCTTCAGAATCCTGACTCCAGAGTTTCACAGACGGGCCCTCCACAAATCATTCTGTCCACTCACCAGGGGGTATCAGCAATTGACTATACTTTATATATATATATATATATATATATATATATAGTGTGTGTGTGCTAGCACAAATTCTTTTAACTCAAAATATCTGCCTGGATTATATACTTTGCACTTAGCTCTTTCTCGCTCTTGTTGACAAAGAATGTTGGGATTGCTATGTTAGTGATAATATTATCTTGCATGAGGAACATGTTGCCATAATCTTGTTACTTTTTATTTTTCAGATAATGTATTCTAAAACTTTATTCAATAACTAATCGGTTTTATTAATTTAATGGCCCAGTGTTTTGACCATATAGCCAAGTATTTTCAAATTCTTTCATACAAGTCACTTGAAGCATTCAAAATTCTCCTGATATTATTTGGTAATCATGTCTTTTTAATGTTCAGTTTTAGTTTTCTGATTTTTGCATTGCTTAATTGTTCATGTTTATCTTAATTAGTAATATTTACATTTTGGTTTTGATTTTCATTTATGGAAGCTGAAATATTCTTAATTCTGCTTGAAGTTGATAACACTCATTAGAAAGCAACATTATTTTTAAAAAAAAAAAAAAAGTCATAAAAGAAATCTGTCAAAGCATTTTCTTTGTATCTTTTCTTTAAGTATTGATAGAAGCTTTAAATTCACCACATCCCAAGTGAAATTCAGTTTTTAAAAAATTGATTGCTTTTTTTTTTTAAGTGTTTAACCCATTAATGTCCATTGTCCTATTTTTGAGCATTAATGGCTCATAAGTAGAAATCTATAAATCCCAGTTTTTTTTTTGTTTTTTTTTGGTTTATTTTAACCTATAATTAATATTGTATTTTTATTTTAGTTTTTATATTGGATTTTACAATAGGTATTAACAAGTTAATTGATGCAGCACATGATATATCTATTGTCTATATAATTGGATTCTTAGCAGAATTGACTTAATGTAAATACCCTGGAAGACTGCAAAAGGCAGCTAGAATAGTGCTTTGGTGAGAAAAATAAAAATTTCTGGGAAGATAGAATAATAAAATCTGAAAAATGACAGAAAAAAAAACCCATTAATAAGTTATTCAATTAAAATATATATATATATATATAATATTGCACATTGAATTGTGGTGTTAATAAAATAGTGCTCAATGTAGAATAAAAGTGCTATAATTTATATATTAATAAGTATACAGTTTTTGAGGGGGAAAAAAATGTATATTTATTAATATATATAACTGCAAATGTTATTTCCAGTGGATACTCATGTTTGAATAGTCACCCTTTTTTCTTTAAAAAAAAAAAAAAGAACAAAAACAAAAAGTGTGTAAAGTATGCCAAATCAGATGGTGGTTTCTCCCTACAAAGAGGGATGCAGTTTCAAACCCTGCCTTATCTTTATTTTCTCAAGGCTGGTAGATGTAATACACACTTTAAGTTAATTTTAAAAAAATACAATGTAAAAAAAAAAAAAAAATGAAATATCTATTCAAATACTGGTATCTGCTGGAAATAATGTCTGAAGTAATGAAACTGATGGATTAAAAATAAATTCATTAATTCTTTACAAATATTTTCATATTTTATCCCTTCAAATGTTATTTTTAGTTGATTCTCATGTTTGAGTAGACGCACTATTTAATTATTAAACATTATATTTATTTTTGTCTCCAGCCTGAATATTGGAGAAATCTTCTTAAAGAAAAGTATGTGCTCTCTGGCATGATTCAAACCTGCATCCTACTGGGCAGAAGGAAACCATCGTCCGATGTACTGTAACTGACTTGGCCACAAAGAATCTTTGCCAATAAAGCAAGTTCTGAACAGTGACTTTAAGGGAAATCCTTCTTGTCATAGATTATTCAAAAAGGCACATCTTTTTCTTTAAGATTTCTCCAATATTCAGGCCAGTAGACAAAAATAATTAAATATACTGTCTAATAATTAAACAGATTGTCTACTCAAATATAAGTATGCACTAAAAATAATGTTTGAAGTGGTAAAAATCTATCAGATTAATAAATAAGAAAATCCATTACTTCTTTCAAAAATTACTAATATATAATGATAGGCACATGGCTGAGTGCTTAGAACATTTGCTTTCTGACCATGAGACCTGGGTTCAAACCTCACTATAGTCAATTTGTCAGGAAGGAGACTTCCTGATGTTGTTGGACTGGATTGAGGTCAATCCCAGCATGTGGCACCTTTGGAAGGTGCCTGAAAACCACACCACAGGTTGACCCAAGCCTTGTGATTGAAATTGGGTAGACAGAACTCTTGAGGGCTGTTGATAGCTGTGCTAGCACAAAGCCACAAGTCATTGTGGCTGAGGGCTTGAGCGTGCTTACCTTGTTCAAATTGTTGATCACGTGCTCTCTCCCAGAAACTGCAACTAAGGTCAGCTCAGCATAGTTGCAGTGGGCTCTGTAGGTGTTAAGCAAATGTGCCTAAGCGAGCGTTTGTAATAGGGATTGGCTAGCTGCCTAGGAGACTGGTATCCTCAAATACAAGTGGCCAGCTATTATAATGATAGAATATAGTTTTAAGGTATGCTATATTTATTGTTTAAAGTGCTCAATATCAGGGCTAGAGTGTATGTAAATACAAAAATGAACATTGAATTTAATACCCAGAAGTGACAGTCTGTTTCATGCTAAATACAATTGTCAAGCCATATATTAATACATCAAATTAACTTTTTTAGCACTTAATATAACAAATTGAATCCAGTTTTGTGTTTGGTAAGAAATGTTCTACTCTTGGCTTTAGGCTGTCTCTAGTACCATTTCAGCTCAAATGTAAGTCAAGCAAGTAAGTAAATGTTAAATGAATCAAACAACAAAAGAATTAACTCATGACTTAATCATAGAACTTATTTTCTTCTCACTCGTGTCTGTATTGTTTTCAGGCACTTATGTATAGTGTACTTCTTTTTTAACTTCTTTTTATGGCTTTTCTGCAATGGTTACTTTTACAATTAAGCCCAAATTTGATTTTCAACACTTGAATAGTCAATTCCCTTGATTAATTCCCATGATGCTTTTAGGATTTATTTCACTGTTAAAGAACCATACATATTTGATTGTTTCATAGATTCTTGTTCAAAAATTATTCATTTGTTTTCATGTCTCTCATATGAGCCAGACAGGCATCTTGTGTCTGGATAGCAAGATACCATTTTAATTGTTCATGAATTAATAATTCAAAAAATATTTTAATATTAATTTTCATTGTCAAATTTGCTAAACTGATTTTTGAGAAAAAAAAATCTCAAGGTCAGTGACTACTTAAAGAAATAGAAATTGTCTGCTATTGAGAATTTTGTGAAAATGAGTAATCCTCAAAAATACATGAGGCAAGCTGATTGCTTTCAATTTTGTTAATTTCAATATGGTTGCTTCATTTCATTAAATACACAACAATTATGTGAATTGTTTCATTGATGTAATATATTACTAGTGATGTAGAAAAGTCTGCTCCATTTTTTTTTTTTTTTTTTTTTTTATTATTATATATGGTTTGTTCCATGTACCACTCCAGTAAGTACTGGATTCCTGCTAGCCTTTACCTTTACAAGAGCCAGATCAGGCTGAAAATGGAGTACTGTTGCCATATATGGACTGGAGCTGCACAGTCTTCACTTTCCAATCTCGATATAGTCCAAAAGCATCTTGTAGGTGATGAATTATTTTCCACTCTACAACCTCTTTTCCTTTTCAAAACTGGTGCTTTGTGGAACCAATTGTCAAGAGGAAGCTTCCCCAATCACTAGAGCCCTATTGTGTTCAAGTCTATGTTTAAGCATTATCTTTGCAACATGTCTTCATAAACTATGCCTTTTACTCTCTAACCCTCTTGGGTCTTGTACAGGGTGAACATCATATTAAAAGAAAAATTCTAATTTTGACTATTGATTTGGTCAGATGTAAAATTAGGGGCTTCTATTAATCTTACATGATACTTAAAATGAAATTTGTTTTCTATTCATAATTTTATTGCATGTTATTTCTCATGGATACAAAAAGTATGTTTTAGTTGAGATTGGTTGCATTTCTTTAAATATAAGACTCATTAAAAGAAACTCATTTGTTAAACTTATTTTTTATGAAATTTTATTTGACATAGTTAATAAAGTAGAATTCAGAAAATTTGTACCCATGAATATTGTACAGCTGATGCGTATCACATATTCACATATACAATTTTTAAAGTGATGGATTTTTATTTAATTAATCTAGCAGATTTTATCACTTAAATGTTATATTTAATGGATATTTGAGTAGATGCCCTGTTTATTAAACTATATTTATTTTTATCTCCTAGCCTGAATATTCTAGAAATCTTATTAAAAAAAAAAAATATGTGCTCCTCAGCAGGATTTGAACCTATGTCACCCTTGGTAGAAGAAACCATTAGATTTGACATACTTTAAATCAACTCTATCACAGAGTGTGTTGTCAGCCAAGCAAAGTTAAATAATGTCTTATAAAGGCAAATCTTTCTCAAACTTTCAAAACATTCATATCCCAATGTAAACAAAGCAATTTCTAAAGAAGTGATGGATTTTTATTTATTAATCTGACAGGTCTTAATACTTAAATATTCTTTTTAGTGGTTACCCAGATTTGAGGAGTCACTGCATTTATTTATTATACAGTATATTTATTTATTTGAGATTCAGGCCAGTAGAGGAAAATAAATAAATATGCTGTTTAATAAATAAATGGAGCATTTAGTCAAATATGAGTATCTACAAAAAAAATAATGTTTAATAATAAAGTGTTCACATCTGGAAACTTTTTGAAAACTATCTATTTAAAACTACACCCATTATTCATGTTCGAAACATTTTAAAAACTAAATTTGTTATTCTCTAAAAGCATTACTATATATATATATGTATATATAATTTCAAATATACTTTTATACATTCAGCAGTTTGACTATAAATATCAATTTTACTCTAATTTTTGCTAATTTCTTTTCAACACAACTGAAAACAAAGTATAGCAGTAATTCTTTAAAGGATTTTTTTTATTCAAAATTATTTCTCGTTATTATAAACATTATCTTTACTGTGTACACGGTTTTTAATTGCTATCCCTGTTTTTTTTTTATTTTATTAAACAAAGCAACATTAATAACAACCTACTTAAAAGAATGAGAAACAGGGTTTCTTTAATATATAGGTAATTCAAAGTTGGCCTTGTCAAGGCTGGCTCTGTGACTAAACTGGTAGACACTTTAGTTCAAAAAGTGGTTTCTCTGATGGAAAAATGGATGCAGGTTCAATTCCTGTCGGAGGCACAATCTTTCTTTAGTAGGATTTCTCAATCTAAGCTAGTTGTTATTAATTTCACTGTTTAAGAAAATAATAAATCCGTGATAACAATTCAAACGTGTACCTACTAAAAATAGCATTTATACTAATTAGAAATATCATTAATTCTTTATTATTATAAATTTTTTCTTTTTCTTTTTTCTTATTAAAAAAAGAAATGGAAATAAAATAAGGATTGATTCTTTATAAATGGTATGAATCTACTTAGTGTATAACTCTTTTGACAAACCATATTTCTTTATCAGAACTTTCTGGTCAGGTTAGGTCTGCTACTGGTAATATAGAACCCACTACAATCTACCACATGGACAGATAGTTGCTGTCTAAACCAGCTTCCTCACTAGATTTTTCTGCTGGTGAGGAGGGTGGCATGTCGCCCTTCAGGACAAAAAACAAGACCTGTCAAAGGATGTATAAGATTCTTATAGGAGCCAATGGTCAATATCTCTCTCTCTCTCTCTCTCTCTCTATATATATATATATATATATATATATATATATATATATATGACAAATAAATTTGTCAGTTGATTGCTGCTATATTCTGCACCTTGATTTTTAGAGTTCTGTAGATGTACATTTTTGTAATTGTTCAATCCACTCTTCAGAAAGTTTTAGCAAATAACTGCTATTTTCTCATTTATGTTTAATTTATAGAAATATATAAATAGAAACATATATACAAGGCTAACATTAAGTCTCAAGTCATGAACAGCAACCATCCTAAAGATGATGTCTCAATAAAAAAACACTGTAGTTGGACTACCATGAGTATCTGAGTCAGGCATCTGGAAGACCATCTGGCCTTGTAAAACCTTGCTTCAAATCATTGAAAAATTCTGTCAGGCATGACCTACTGTGCTTTGTGCAAGATTAATACCAGTTCTACCTCAATAAAAAAAACAAAAAAAAACTTCTATGTATATATGTTTATGCTGATAGAATTTACTAGACATTACTAGGTAGGAAGGTTAATCCAGTCATGTTGTTTGTTGTTGATCTAATGTTTTTTTAATTACTAAGATGCAGTCTAATTCTACCTTAGAATAGACACTAAATTAAAAACATGATGCTTTTAATAATTCCCCTATATTAATAAGATAATGGAGTTTACTAATTTTTCAGTTTTAAATAGATTTTTGTTCTTTTAAAAGGTGCTTTAATAGTGGATTTTTTGCTTAACTTTAGTAGATTTAAAGCAATAACAAACTTTGAAAATTAAACCTCTTTTCAAAAAGATTAAATAAAACAGAAGTATCCAAAATTAAGTCCATAAGATTTATATATAGTGCATGTATGATGAGCATTATTTTAGTGTTGTGATAAGACTATCATTTTTAACAGTTTAATTTTTCTACTTTCAGAATCAATGATATAATTGTGAAAGTGAATGATGCTAATGTTGTAAACGTCACACATCAAACTGCTGTGGAGGCCTTGAAAAGGGCAGGGACCAGGGTTGTGTTGGTAAGTTATCAAAACAGGGAGTATACACCTGTATGCACAGTAATTTCATTTCATCTTCATCAGTTAGTCAAAACAGTTCAAACATATTTGATATCCATCTCTTGGATTGAAACTCAAATTCCCAACGTGGCCTATCAGCTGATATCAGGTTAAATCTGAAAATATGAGAAACATAACATTTTGAAATTATCAAAGAAAAACTGGGATGAAAAGAAAAATTGTAAATTAGTAAAGTTAGAATATACACATATGAAGAATTGATTTTTACCATTTTACTTATAAACAAAAATAGATTAAATGAGAATAAATCAATCTATCTTCACCTTTATATAAGGTTATAAATATGGAGAGGAAAGCTAGTTTTGGCCTCTGGTGTCCATATTGCTTTTTATTCTCACAAGATGATCTTTGTATTTTGTTCATTCAAAGCATCAATATAAAAGTACAGATGAGAAAAAAATATAATAAAATAAAATATAATTTTAAACTTCAGTACTGAAGTAGTATTCAAAAACTGGTATTTTTTTTTTTTTTTTGCTTACAACAAATTGAAACTGTTACGAACACCCCCACCAAAAAAAAAAAAGAAATACTTTTTCTTTGACTTTAACCTATTAACTGAAGTAGAAATTTCCGTCATTTGCAGTTAAGAGGTTAAAGCATTTAAACAAACTTAAAAATAGTTACTATACAAAACTGAATGTTTACTAAAGAGTTAAACTTATTTGAGTTTTTATTGAAGGATTTCAATTGATAGGCCATGAAGATATATTTTTTCTTTCATTTCAATAGTTTATTTCCAGTAGATTACAGCTTACCATTCCAGCCATGTTATTTGTTGATCTAATGAATTTTTTATTACTAAAATGCAGTTTAATTTGTTTATATAAACATTTTAAACTAATTTTTACTTTTTGTTTATCTTTCAGCTTTTTTTCCAGTAATTTTTCCCTCTCAAATGATTTACTTAATATATCATTAGAAATAGACAAAAAGCTAATTTTTATATTCATAAGAAATGTGTATTTTTATAAGTCATGAAATCAACATAGTATTTTGAGTTGTTGTCTTTTTTCTTTGCAACAAATTTCTTTCCATATTTTCTGCAGTTCTTCAGAAATTAAATCTTTAGTCTTATAGACATTACAAGGTAGGGAGGGGAATTAATGTCTTGCTCTCTCTTCTTTCTTAAAGGAAAGAGTTGACTAAGTTTAACTGAAAAATATAAAAATAGATTTTATTTCTTTTTTTTTTCTTTACTTCAAGCATTCTCTTTTTTTTTTCTGCTGTGACTGTTTTATCAAAAGTTATGTTCATGTTTTTTTAAATATTTGTTTTATATTACCAATAAGTTATAAACCTGTTGGTGGTAAACCCTCCTACAGTAGAATGAACTTTTCCTCCTCTCATAAATACTAACTGGGAGAGTCAGTTGGAAAAGCAGACGCAATGTTGACCTACCGTTCGGACGTACACCTCTATCTTCATATTACTAACACTCTTGCTTTGTATATATCTTTTGTTTCAATATACTTGTTAAACCTACCTTCATTTATCTGTGTCTTTCTTTCTGGCCCCTAAACAGGCCACAACAAAACCCTTACTAATATTTTGGCCAAATAACTTGATGGTTTTATAAAATGTCTTTCTGTTACTGTAATTAAAAATCTTTATATTTTTTTCTCATTGTTAATTCAAATGATATTATATATAGTCATTATTCTTTTCTCTTATTAGTAGGATATTGTTTCCTATTCAAATATATGTTAATATATTGTGACTAATAGTTACTGTCTTATCTATTGTTTCTTCTGTTCTTGTCTTCTGGATACCATTTTTAATTTTAACTCTACTTTGCTGTCAAATAATTGTGCTTTGGCATTCCTTATGGAAACTCTTCAACAGAATATTCTATGATTATTCTCATGAACATTGCTTGTTTTCTGCAATGCCATATCAGTTCAGTATATGTAGGCAATCATGACACTCTACAGACTAATTTTCTTTAACTTCTGTGAATTGACTTCCTCAGAAAGATAATGAAATGGCTTCCCCATTGCCCTTTTCATGGTTTTGAATTCAAATGTTCTTGCCCTAAACCATCTGCCACCCATGTTTATAGATCCCAGTCTGTTTAATTTATAGCTAGAAAGAGAAAAGATGGATTCATGCCTTTCCCCATGAGCATTTAATGCAACAGATGAAGCTGGGGTTTAAACTCTGCTTGATGATTGTCATCTATATTTCCGAGATGATGTATTGTAATTATTTACCTTGTTCGGATGGTTGTCCTCATCTTTGTTGCCATATTCACATTTCGGCTGTTGTACACTCCAGCCTTCTTCAGGTGATTAGAATTTCAAACTGAACCCTTTATTTCATCCACTGGGGTAAATTGTTCTAGTTCCATGTGCAATGACTTTTTTGGATGTCTCAGTTATCTCCATTTAACTCAACTCTCAAGTTTTTGTTCACCACTGCAATAGCCAGGTATTGAACTCACAACTCTTTGGGTCAAGTCACTAGATCCAACCAATGCTTTTATCTAATGGGCCATGTGTCCTCATTGGTTGGATGTAATGACTTGACTCAATAACTTGTGAGTTCAATACCTGGTTACTGCTGTGGTGAATAAAATCTTGGAGAGTTGAGTTAAAGGGAGATAAGTGAAACATCTAGAAGAGATATGGCATGTGGAACTAGAACAATCTACCCTGGTGGACAAAATAAAGGGTTCAGTTTGAAATTCCAATCACCTAAAGAAGGTTGGAGCATACAACAGCCAAAACATAATGAATATGGCAACAAAGATGAGGACAACACTCTGAACAATGTAAATAGTGTTGATGATTTCTCTTTCCACACTGATGATCGTTATGCCACTTACACATTTACAGAGTGCGATGGATATTTTGTCATCTAAATTACACAAATTAAAATAACACTAACGTCTAATTTTAACAGATATATTTACCAAAATTACACAAAAATATCTTGAGATACCAAAGAGTAAATTTATTCAATAAAATTGCCACTGGCTTCAACCATGGCCTCCAAGTGACTTGGGAATCTCCTGCAACTCTTCTAGACAGTGTCCTTGTTTAAGTTGATGAATGCTACCATAATCCTTGCCTTCAGTTCATCTTTGTTATTAAAAATTTAGGAGTTATTTTCTTATCGGAGTGAGTTTTACAAGCTGTCATACCCTTGTGATTACCATTATAATCATCCAATTCTTTCTGCATTCTTTGCACTGTCCTCAGATTGACACTCAAAGACTCTTAAATGTTCATATTGGAGCTTCTGGTTTGAATGCCAAGCAGTACAGTATGCTGTTTCCAAATTTCTGGCAGAGTGAATTGTATCATGGTTCTCTTTTTCTCACAGTCAGTGCCCAACTGACCCTACTATACTGTACAGACAACAAAATCAAAAACAACACTCATGTGAAATTAAAAATATAAAATGTCAAGAATTTACCCATCGCATCATTTGTAGTGATAATAAATTTGATGGTATCAATAAAGGAGTGCTGCACATAGCCTGGTGTAAAGGAATTAATGCTATACATATTTTGGTTCTGAGAAATCATTTAAAACTAACTAATATAGCACAAAACATTAAGAACATTGTTTTATCTCAGATTATTTTCTTTTTGTTAAACATCTAAAAACCAGTCACAATTTCTGAACGTTATTTGCTTTAACAATTTTAGCTGTAGCTAAAAGAATAAACTAATTATTCATCTGATAATTTTAAGAATAATATTAATAACTTTGTAACTGTTCAGAGTATCTTAATTATTGATTTTTGCTTGTGATTTTGAATGATATCTGCCTCGTCACTGAGTTGTATATTTCTTACTGGTGCTAGATTTTCAAAGCAGGTTTGTCTTATCAATTTGGAAGACTGGTGCAACATAATCTTCCTTTACCAATTTTCTATTGTGCTGTAGGATTCTAAGCTTAATAAGTATCATTGTTGTGCTAATTTACAGTTCTCTTCAAACAGCACAAATCATTTCTGACTTCATGTAGTCATCCTCCATGAGTTCAGTTTAACTATCCATAGCCTTCATATTTATGTTAACCTATTTTCAATTTATACCTTTTTCTTAACTGTAAATTTATTTTTAATTCTTGCTGTTAGGTTACTCACATCTATTAATCGTACCATATTTGTTTCACATATCAAAATATTTCCTTGACTGAATTCTGATATAGAATTGGAAATGTTTTCGGTTACAATATCTGAATTTCTTAACAGTAGTCATTTATGATTCACAATAATGAATTTTTTTTTTTTTTAAAATCCGTGTCACCCCTAAGCAAGGCAGTACAGCCTCTAACATGCAAGGAATTACAGGGTGTGAAGGAATTATGACCGGAAGCATTAGTAAAGAGTAGAAAGAGAAAATGCTTCTATGAATCTTAGTCCCCTATATTTATATACATAAATTTATGGCACTTGAGTTAAATCACTGACAATGCAATTAGCCTATATTCCATTATTGTACATGTGATTTCTTTTACCTTCATTGATTTCATCTATTACTTCCTCTTTGTATTCATTCCCTAAATCTGGCCTATCCTTTCTGACAAACACATTCACTTAAACGAGTTTTGCCTTCTCAAGAGAAGCATATACTATACATACTTGTGTAATGTACAATCTCACATATCATGCAACCTCTAAATTTTCACTTATAAAAAATGATTTTATCATGTATTTCTTGTATCATGCTAGTTCTTTTTATGAGTTACCAAATTACATTAGTTTAACCTCTTTTCTCTTTATCCCATCTTCTAGTTAAATAAATTAAAGAAAATGATAAAAGTATTGTTAGTAATGCTATACTTGTTGCATAAATGCATACAGCCATAAAAAAAAAAATGAACGAGAAACAGCTAAACATCTTATAAATGTAAACAATGGAAAAGATATGTATTTGCTATATTTGTGTTTTATAATACAATGCTAATATATGAATGCATTATTATTGGATACAGTTAAGTAAAACCTCAGAAAAATCATGTTTATTTTAAATTTTAACTATAGTAAATGGATATATAGTTTGGTCAACAGCATAGCCAGGGTCAGCAGTACATTAATTTTATATCTCATGTATGATGCAACCCCCTTAAAATTAGCTACAAAATTAGTTGCATGATACACAAGTATATATGGTATATAAACTTCAGGAGCTTATTCTTCACACTAATATCTTTAAAAGGACAGCTCCTGTACTTTTTTTTTTATTTACCTATTGATTCTATGTATAAATTGGTTCAGTGTTTGCTGCATGCTAACAAATGCATAGTATAAGTTGAGTATCCTTTATCTGAAATCATCCAAAATCCAAATGTTCCTCAGGTGCTGACATGACACAAATGAAAAATTTCAGAAAGAACTCACAAGGTTCCTAGGTGATATGCAACTGTTGTAAGTGACCTCATCTGCCCTGGGTTGAGGTTCCCCAGCCCAGCTACATATCCTATGTTGTCACCAGTTTTTTGTTAGCAATCATCATAGCAACACCATTATTCATGGATTACTTACCAGATGTTTCATGCTCAGTAAAGATATTATTCAAAATGTCAAAGTCCTGCATTTATATTTTTTTTTTTTTTTGTAAATAGTGGAAACTCCTTTCCTAAGGAGTTTGTAACACATCTATTTATCATCTCTTAGTTGCATCTCTGTCCTTGGGCAGAGTGCACTCAGGGGTGACTCTGTCAAAGGACAAAGTTGCAACTGAGGAAAATTATACTGAGGGGTACCCAGCACTGGGGAACAGCTGCCCGAGGCCGCACCCTCTCATTGCATCAGAGAGGGGGATCAGTGCTTGCACTGAGGCCAGCACAACCAATGGTTGCAGGGGGTGCAGGCAATTTTTGTTTCAGGTCCAGGTCCCCACCTTAAAAAAGACCTTGTGTTGCAACTTGTCTTAGTGGGGAGACAAAATACTTAGTGATCATGTTTTTTTTGTTTGTTTTTTTTTGTTTTGTTTTGTACACACACAGAAAGTACAAAATATTATTCTTACATTAATTCTTAATTTCACCACTTAAGAATCCATGTGAGCACGACATGACATTACCTGTATCTGTATGTACACAAAATTTATAAAATTTTATATTAAGCTACTTTCAGGGTATATGTTATTGATATGAAACTATCTTCAGTGTATATGTATAAGCTATGTTAGGAAATGTAAAGGGATATCATGTTTATGCTTGGGTTCCATTCCCAAGCTGATCCATTTTATAGATGTTATATGCAAATTAAATAGCCTGTATTCCAAAATCAAAAAAAAAAATCTGAAAACCAAAGCACTTCTTGTCCCAAGAATTTTTGGATAAAGTATTCTCAATCTGTACAAATTTATTTTTCAATGTGTATGAATAATGCTCTCTATCAAATCAGAATTTTTTTTTTTTTTTTTTTAGCTACTTTGTTCATTTTGCTACATTTCAAATTAATGAAAAAGTCCAGAGCCAAAGTTGACCTCCTTGGCAACAATTATTTTACTCTCTTTAATATTCTAGGGTCTGCAAATTGGAGGAGAGAGTTATCAATGATAATGTTCTGACTTCAAATCAATGTTTATCTCCCTTTAACTCTATCTCTGTATTTTATTTTTAAATGTAATTTTTATCACATCAGATTTAGTTAGATGCAAGCAAATTTTCATTTTGAAAATGCATCCCTGAGGGGGAAAAAAAATGAGAACCACTGGTCTAATAAATCAGAAACTTGCTTTGATTGGTAGCAGTTTTTTTTTTTTTTTTGTTAATCCAATCAATTAAAATGTACTCAAGTAATATAAAGAAACTTTTCCCTTTTAGTGATTAACCTGAGACTTTCTGTGCATATTGAAAAGATAAACATCAGATTGATTTTTTTTGTATATTTTTTTACTATCCAGAATTTAAAAGAGAAATAGTTTAATGGAAACAAGAAAATATTTTCTATAAATCTTTTTATTAAAGTTTGAATGCACTACTTGTAGAAACACTACATTATTTTATTTTTATATTCTGTTTAAATGATAGATTATAAAGCTCAAATGAGAATGCCTGAAGTAAAATGCACCTGTTGATTGTTTTTTTTTTAATGCCGTTTTAATCACAAAGAAGCATTTAAATGAAGAAATGTCATTTAAAATGTTTACCGTCTAGATGCGGGTGTGATGTATCTCGGTACAAATATTGTAGTTATGCAATGAAACATTTGCATTTCTCTCTTGCTTCTCTAATCATCACAAGCTTACAGCCACATCATGTTGAAACACCAGTTCCCGTATGGTCACCAAAGTTAAGCAATGTCAAGTCTGATTAGTACCTTGATGGGTAACCAATTGGGGAATACCAGGTGCTGTAAGCAGGTGGTGTAATGGATAAAGGCTCAGAATTGTTAATCTCCAAGCTGAGTTCCAATTCTGTTGGGTTTATATTCGCTTATGCACAAATACCCTTGGGGAAAATATGAAACCATCTCTTCTCCTCACAGCTATGGGTTAATTAGTAAAATATGTATCAATAAATCATTATCTCAAAAAAAATTCTTACACTCTAAAAATATTTTCTGGCTTTAAATAATCTGCAAAAGGTTGATAATCCATAAAAAACAAATCAATCAAACAATCTAATCATCACGAATATGGGTATGCACTATTTTTTCTTGGTGATCACTGAAGAATAAATTCCAGAGAACATAATTATGATTGTCAGCATATAAAGAATTATTTTGTTCTAAAATGTAAACATTAGAATAAGTATTTTCTTATTTGTAACTGATCACAGAAAATTGTCAGTAATGTATGTGTGTGTTTATTTCTGTAAATAGTTTAGCAAACTGCGAATGTCAACTAAAATTAATTATCAATTATGCCTGAGTATGTGTGTGAGAGAGAGTGAGAGGACTCTATTCAACTTATTCCATTTTGCACTAATTTAATGTACAGCCATAAATATAAATCAAGTTCTTAAGCATTTCCTCTCACTTATGCTGTGTGAACTTGATGGTCAGAGGGAAGTGGTGTAGAATTTATCTGGCAAATATAGATCAAACCTGGAATTAATGTATCAAAATTTGAATTTTGAATGGTTAGTTTATAAAATGGGCTCTGAAAAGTTCCTAACATTGACTACATTGTTTTTTTTTAAATTTCCTCTTGGTCAAGTTAGACATTTTTAGGTTGTGGGTATTTGATAGAGAGAAGTGGTGTTGATTTTGTGCGAAGTTAATGTATCTGGCAAGTATAGACCAAACCAGGAATTAAAACCTACCTTTCAAATATTAGTTTGTTTTTTTTTTAATTTCTTAGTTAGGTTAGATATTTTTAAAATGGATTGTTATACTATACAAAGGTTTCTTTCTGTTATGATTTTAGGAATCTCTTGTAATAAAAAAAAAATAATTGATATTCTTTTTAAGCTGGAAAAATTCACAAAGGAATAAAAGTAAAATCAATCGAACTTTCTAAAATACGAATCCTCAGATAAGGTTAAAAATTTAAATTAGAATTTTTTTCTCATTAAGTTAGGTACCCTATTAGTTTGACTGTATAAAGAAGAAACATTATCTATATTAGATACTATAATTAACTTTTTATAATTTGATATTAATTCGTTTAATTTTTATAAATTTCTTCTCAGAAAATGATGATCTAAAATAGTGTCTCATAATATTGAGCAGATTATCTTCTGAAAAAAATGTTGTTTTGATGTTTTTAAATAAAGTATTTTCTTTAAAAATTAATAAAAAAAAAAATGTGTGTAATGCTACTGTATTTTTTTTTTTTTTTTTTTTTTTTGGGATACACTTCATATGCTTTTCCAACATATGTAGTTTACTTTATTGTTGTTGTAAACCATTTTATTCCTCAAGTTGTTTAAGCCATTGAGTTCCTTCTTTTTGTTGTTGCCGCCATGTGTTAGCCAATCCCCTCAATTGCCTTATTCAGATGCTATAATCCATATGGAAAGAGGTCTCTCCCTCTTTGTAGGGAACATTGATTGCTGTTAGGAATAAAATTAAACAAAGCTTTGTACATTATCAAGTCAGTGTGAATTTCTTTGCTTAGCAAAGAAAGGATTGGAGAGGAAACACATCTACAAGAAAATATATTGTGTTATGTGCAGTTCATGAATTGTTTCCAGTATGTATATTTGTCACCATTTCTTTTCTGATTGTTACCATTTCCTGGTTTGCAAATGTCATCCAGGGGATATGCTACCAACAGTTAAGTACATCCTCAGATGAGGAAAACCAGTGACCGACTTGGAGGTCTGATGACTGTCTTCCAAACTGAACATCCTAAATGCCCTAACTAAGAGGGGTAAAATTAATGATATCTATAGGCAATTACTATGAGAAACAGCTATTTTCGGATGGCTCACTGTAAAATATTTTGTTGAATATCGTAGGTAAGCTGTTTAACCTACACTAAAAATGGCCATGTAGTACTATGTTGAGGTAGTGTGTGTGTGTGTGTATATATATATATATATATATATATATATATATATATATATATATCTCAAAAATAAATATATGACAAGAAATGAAAAATAAATAAAAACAAGCAAAATAATTTGACTCGAATAAATAAAGAAATAAACGACTTCTGGTAAAATAACTGCCAAAATAGACTACCCACAATGCACCACTGATCCGTATATATAAATAGCCGAGAAAAATAACAGCACTCGTGGCCTGACGATTGCGTCTAACATGAAACACTGTCACTTCTAAGTGTTGACGTCTATGTTCACTTCTATATTTAATTTACACACACTCTATCTCTGATATTGAGCACTTTATTCCATAAATATAGTACACCTTAAGACTATATTTCTTTATATACAGTGGAACCACAGTTCATGAATTTAATTCATTCCTGTAGGCCATTCGTGACTTGAAATGTCAGTAAATTGAAATGATTTTTCCAATAGGAATAAATGTAGAGAAAAAAAATACAGTAAAATAAAATTGGAAAAGAAAGCACTGCACAAAACAGAAATGATTTCTGCATCGACCGCCATGTTGATATATAAAACATGGCGGTCAACTTGGAAATTATTCCGTTCATGTTAACTTGGTTTGGCTATGTTGTTCAAGAACTGAGGCATTTTCATCAACAAATTTTCTGTTCAAAAACCGATTTGTTTGACATATGAGATGTTCGAGAACAGGAGTTATATATATATATATATATATATATATATATATATATATATAAATTTTTAGGCAGCAATTTTCATTGATGCATATTTCATTAAATAATATAGACAAGTTTTGCCTATTTATTTTAAGTTAAGTTCCTTTCCTTTGTCTGATAAAGCAATTCATTGTCTGATAATGTTTAATAATCATTATCATTGAAGAAAAGGAGACTGGATTTAAACATGATATTTATTAACTAAAATAAATAAATCATATTATTTAATGAAATTCAAAATATATATATATAGTCTTAAGATGTGCTATATGGGATAAAGTCCAATATCAGAGATAAGCTATAAAAGTGAACATAGAGAAGTGATAATCTGGCTAGACGCATGTCAGGCCTGACAATTGTGTCTATCATTAAACAGACTGTCGCCTTTAAAATATATGATATATATATATATATATATATATATATATATATATATATATATATATATATAAATAAATAAATAAAATAGTATAACTGCACACACCTTTGTATTATGTTTTAATTGACTCTTGATGTTCATGAAAACTTTTTATATCATTGAATAGTTCTTTTTTAGATGGCCAACATTGTTTTTGGATTCTGTTATCTTATGTTTTACAGGAAAGTCTTTCCACATTGTTTGACATTAATAGTTACCATCTTATATCAGTGAAAATTGATTCAGTGAATTTTGAGAACCAAAATCTAAATCAATTTTTTTAATGTTACCAATATTATTGGGTAACCTAAAAAGTTTCCCGTTTTTGCTAAATGATGTGAAGAACATTTAGTTTTAACTAAATTCATTAGAAAGATCATATTTGATTGGATTCTAGCAGCTGTCATATTGATACACTTTTTTTTTTTTTTGAATTTGTCAAAAATGTTTGTTTATTGATTTTGACATGGAAGACTGGAAAAAAAATTCTTGATATTTTTTTTTTCTAAGAAAAGTAAAAATGTGATTCAAATCAAAAAAAGATTTGTAAATGGTTTACAAAATTTCATGATGGTGATCTGTTATTGAATGATTATGAATGGCTGAGTAGACTATTTGAAGTTGACACAACTCAAACCAAGATCACAAGAAGAGATTTATGATTTATGTCAAGCTCATAGCTTAAGATTGAGAGGCTGTTTCCAATGAAGAACAGTTTTACAAACATGTTTATTTTCAAAGATAAGAATGTAGGATCTACTCTTTGACAATTTGTAATGAAAAAAAAACTATATAAATTATTATTTACATATGTGCACTTTCAAAATCTCAAAATAATTAATTGCATTGCACCTAAATTAGCTAATTAAAAATATATGTGCAAGCACACACAAAGCTGGAATTTTTACCCCACCTCTGCTTTTGTTTTGTCAATCTGCCATTCTTTGTTCTGTTGCTACCAAAAACACAGTATTCTTGGCATTGTCACTTAGCAGTGTTTTTGATCTTCATGGCTATTGAATGTCAGTATTAGCAAGTTAAGAGGTAAGCAGATTTTACAAGCATTTTAAACCTGTGGTGGTTGTGATTCTGCTGAGATTTCAGGTGTGAAATTTCTGCAGCCATGGTAACTTCATCTCTATTGAAAACCAATTTTACAGCATAAGCCAACAAAATCTGTTGACAACTAACAAATTCAATTAAAAATATGTAATGAGTAAAAAATTATTAATCATTCTGTATAGCCTTGTTGATGATCTTTCATCAGAAAAAATTATTCTAGCAATAAATTATAACAAATTGAGACATCAGTCCTACTACCTTATTACTATCTATCTGGACTTGTGTCAGAAACAGCAGCAGTAAGAACTGGGGGGGGGGGCAGGGAAGGTCCATTCATGATCCTCTCTTTTCATCTCTGTCTGATCCCATCTGTCGCTGGCTGTTTTTTGCCTGTCTTATATACATAAGGAAGTGTGCAGCACCTCTGACATTGATTGCTTGCCTGTTTCTCAATAAGATATTCATGACCTTCATTTGTTTAGTAACAGATGACCCTTTTTGAAATATAAGCAGTTGGGTAATAATAGTACTTGTTATAAATATCGAAAGAATTCTTCCCTGGAATTTGGTGAAATTTCAGAAGACCATAAATCTTTATATTTCTCAGATGGGGGAGTAACTGGATAAGTTGAGGAAGATCTAGCTCATCTATATAAATCTTAATGAATTCTTAGTTTAT